GGATGAGGGAGTGGAGGGCTGACCCTGGCAGGGCAGGAGGAGAAGGAGAACGGGCCAGGGGCATAAGGAGCATCAATTCGACATGAGACAGAGAGGGCCGCTCTGGTCCTTCCCTTTCATTTCACTGCAGTTAAGAGGTACACTGTCAGCTGTGCACATTTCTCTGTGTGTGTGTGTTTCTGTGTCCAGGTGCACCTGGGTCTCTGTGCATGCTTATATGTGTATATGTGTCACAAGTGTGCGTGTGTGTGTGTGCACGCATGTACCTTTTGTATCTGTGCATCTGTGGCTGTGTCTCTAGGTCTGGATGTGTATGGATTTCGGAGAAAGGGTATGTGTGTATCTCTGTGTGTCTGTGTGTGTGGGCATGTCTGCATGTGTTTATGCCCACAGAAGTGTGTGTGTGTGTATGTGTGTTGTGGCTGAGGTCACAGAAGGCCTGTGTCACCCTCCTGGAGAGTGGGAGATAAACACTGGCTGGTTGGTGGTGGCCCCGTGAAGTTTGTGATCATGAGTGTAAGGGAAGCTCAGTGCACCCTCTCCTCCTGCAGCAGAGGGGGCAGGCTGGAGTGGGTTGGTTGCACTGGGGTCCTCCAGGGGCAGGAGACAGAAAAAGTTCAAGGTCGTAAGGTGGGTCAGAATGCACTAAGCTTGCCGAAGGAGTGAAGCCAGCAGAGGTGATGGCAGCCCCCCATCCCCCCACCCCTGGTGACACCTGGCCCTTCTGCACTCTGTGTCCTTGGTGCTGACCAGTCTGTGCCTTCCATGGCTTCCTGGCCCCATTAGGCCTGTGAGGGGTGAGGAGCGCTGGGGACTTCTGGGGTTTTGATGTTAGGGCAGATGTGTCCTCTGGAACTGGTGGGTTTGAGAATGACCTCCAGGGTCTGCCTGGAGACAGAGTTGGAGAGGCACAGTCCCCGTGACCCCATGGCTGGGAGGGACAGAGGGCAGAAGACCGATGCACTTTCCGCTGGGTCTGGGGGAAGCACCGCCCCGCATGAGCTGCACACATTCGGGGTGTTGCTGCCACCTCGTGGGCCGATCGGGATGCTCAGGGCACGGCTCAGGAGCGAGGACTTTGCGCCTTCTGGTGGCCAGATGCTGTCTCTGCCCGTGGAGACCCGCGCCCTCCTGCAAAACCCCCACCCCACCTTCCATCGCCCTCCAGCCCCCACAGCACAGTTGCCGAGGGGGCGGGGCGGTGGGCGGACACAAAAGCGAGGCGGCCCAGCCCGCCTGCATGGGTCGGATGCCAGCTCCAGGGCCTGACGCTGTGCAGCTCTGGGCAAGCCTCTGCGCCTCAGTCTCCTCACCTGAAAAGTCCGGCGAGGCGTGGTCAAGGCTGCGGGGAGAGGCATTTCAGGCAGCACGTAGGCGAGGCCAGCACAGCACTGGCCCATCAGGAGCGCTTGATTC